CTCCTAATCAAAAGGACGACGAATCCAGGAGTAGACTACTTCATACATGACATTGTACAGTTGCCACGGTCTGTCAGTCATCACCGTTAAAGAAGGCATCCACAACCCAGTCACGGATGTCTGATGAGATGCTCTGTCGAACACGAGAACGCATGCCGACGACGCTGGAATCATAGGCATCGATTCAAGTGTGCGCTTATGGTGCGGAAGTTCATTGCTCCCAGATCAATAGTAATCCAGAGTTTCGAACGTGACGGGGGAATACAAGCTCGTTGCACCGCTGATGTCCAAAGACTCTAAGGTTCATTCACACGTTTCATCCAATCAACGGGCAGCGCGTTCACTTGATTTGACTGATGCATCAAATCTTCACATCCAGTCAATAAACACAAACTTGGGGTCAGAAGATCGGTTCAGAGCGGCAAGAGACTCGCACAGGATTTTGCAAAATTTTGAACTTTTTATGCAAATTTGACGGAAATTCTATCGTCCGCACTCTTCCCCATCGGGTGCGCAGTATTTACACACCGGATACCGTTACCGAGAAACTGAAGAAGATCAACAAAACCCTAAGATCAAGTGGTCATCCAGAAACACTCATCCTAAACATCTTAAAGAACGTAACACAAAATCACAGAGGACGAGAGTACCGAAAAAGGAACCTTTTGTGCACGTAACATTCAAAGACGACATTGCGGCTGATGCCCAAACATTTTAAAGACGCTGTTGAGAAGAACACTTTCGCGGCTCGCCTTCGCCTACTATACTATAGCAAGCATTTACTCGCAAAGCATTCGAAGGATAGACTGCCTGCGTTTAATCGGTCAATGCTTGTTTATCAATACTCGTGCTCCTGTGGTGCACGGCACGCAGGTCATATAAAGGAACATTAGAATTCACACCAAAGATTAGAAGAGAGCGCGCGTGTGCATTTAAATGACAGACAAGCTCACACCGACCTACAGGGGTTGCAGAAAAAAGACAAGATTGTTCCCTTCTCCCAGCCGGACATTTTTGTTGCAGACGTTTCGTTACCAAACTAGGCAACATCTTCAGTGCGGCTATTCAGTCCTGATTCGCGGAGTCTTGCAAACCACTGCCAAATCCGAATGACTATTGACTGTTACCTGCTTCGATTGTCATCCTTCGATTGGTTCACGTGAGTCGGCCGAGTGGTCATGTCTTCTCCTTGTCGATTTGGTGCCTATTGCTGGCTTAACCTGCAGAGCTTCGTAGACATCCTCCAGCTCCAGGTGTTTGTTGATTGAGTTCCGGCCAGAATGACAGGCCTCGAGGAACTCACGCGCTCCGCGATTTCTTGCTCATACAAGTATTTCAGCCTTCTCCAGTTCGGACTGATGATCCTCGGCATCCATGTGTACTGACATTAAGGATTTTTCATCGTGGCGGAGGATGGCCAGACTATGTTGGTGCAGTCTTGTGCTAAGTTTTCTTCCAGTTTGGCCCACATGGTACTTGTCGCGGTTCTTGCAAGAAATTTTGTAAACTACACCTGATGTTTCTTCCTTACTCAGTTTGTCCTTTATCTTGAAAAGTTTACTTCGAATAGTTTCCGATGCTTCGTGTGCAACATCTATCCCGTGAGGCATTAGATTCCTTGCTGTCATTTCAGAAATCTCATGGATGTAAGGTCGGCTAATCGTTATTCTTTCTGTTGCACATGTGGACGCGGGTTGTGACTGGCTTTTCAACATCACGCAGCGTAGAATAATGCTTATACGGCACGAATTTCGTTAATACATGCTGAATAGGTGGTCCTCCTACGCCTTCCTCAGTTGCGGCGTGTTACAGTGTTTCTGGGCGCATTTGAAAAGCGTCTTCACGCAACTTCACTTGTATACGGTCGGATGGCTACTGCGATAGTTTGAGATCTGATCGGTGTGCGTCGCTTTCTGATAAACTGTTGTTTCCAATGACCCAGAGGCATGTCTTCTCAAGAGCACCTCCAATAATGGCAACTGGTCTTTGTTCTCTTCTTTGGTGAAATGGATGCCGGAAAAATGTTATTAACTAGCTGATGTGTTTCTTGTAGTCTGGAGCATTTGTGGATGACAAAAGTATCATCTACGTAACGTAACAAAGTTTGGCAGTGCCTTTTGTTCCAAGGCTTGCATCACTGCCTCGGCTACCAGTCCAGACATTGGCGATCCCATTGGCGTACCCTTTATCTGTTTGTACATTTGGCCATTGAAAGTGAAATGTGTGGTGAGACAGAAGTCAAGCAACTCCATCATTTGGGTGACTTCAATTCTGTTGCTGGTATTTACCGCTCCGTGTTGTTCAAGCAGAGTGCTCATTGTTAGTCTCGCCAGAGTCGTGCCAATTGATGTGTACTAAGCTGTAACGTCAAAGGAGACCATTATCTCGTTTCTTTCTATTGTTATTCCTTAAGTTTTGCAAGGAATTGTTCTGCCGATTAGATTGAGTGCTCTGAGCCTAGGATTAGGTGTTTCAACCGTTTCCAAAGTTCCTTAGACAGCAAGCAATTCGGTGCCCCGAGTAATGACACGATAGGGCAAAGCGGTACCCCATTTTTGTGTACTTTGGGTAGGCCGTAGAACCGTGGTAAAACTGAGTCCTCGGGTATCAATCTTACTGTGTTCTAACTTTGTGATCTGTCCCATTTGTTTTAGTCTCTGAAGAGTTTTGTTGATCTTGCTTTCCAGGCTTTTTGTAGGGTCTTCACTTATCAGCTGGTAGGTTTTCACATCTCCGAGCAGTTCTTGTGCTTTCTCCACGTAGTCAGTATTGTCCATTATGACAGTAGTACGTCCCTTGTTGGCCGGGAATATAACAATAGTTTTGTCTTTTATGAGGTTTGTCTGTGACTTTCGTTCGCTTACACTGAATAGATTGGTTTCCACTTTGTGACTCAGAGCGGGGATGATGCTGTAGCTACTTGCATGTTGGGCTTCAGCCGCGATGTTTGACGTTGTCAGCGGTGATTCAAATGCGGCAAGGAAATCAATGGGATTGGAATCATTGCATTTGACTTACAAACCTCGCACAATGACTGCTCTTTCTGTATCTGCTGGTTTATGTTGCAAGATTCTGTGCTACTTCGATTTTAGTTTCTGCTTTGTTGGGAGTTTGGTCATATGGGTACTAATGGCAATCGCTATTTCAAGCTCTCTTGTTAACTGCTCCCCGCGGTAGGACAAGCTTTATTTTACGCTATATGATGTCGAAGAGCCAGTCACAACCCGCGTCCACATGTGCAACAGAAAGAATAACGATTAGCCGACCTTACATCCATGAGATTTCTGAAGTGGCAGTGAGGCTTCTAATGCCTCACGGGATAGATGTTGCACACGAAGCATCGGAAACTATTCGAAGTAAACTTTTCAAGATAAAGGACAAACTGAGTAAGGAAGAAACATCAGGTGTAGTTTACAAAATTTCTTGCAAGAACCGCGACAAGTACCATGTGGGCCAAACTGGAAGAAAACTTAGCACAAGACTGCACCAACATAGTCTGGCCATCCTCCGCCACGATGAGAAATCCTTAATGTCAGTACACATGGATGCCGAGGATCAGCAGTCCGAACTGGAGAAGGTTGAAATACTTGTATGAGCAAGAAATTGCGGAGCGCGTGAGTTCCTCGAGGCCTGTCATTCTGGCCGGAACTCAATCAACAAACACCTGGAGCTGGAGGATGTCTACGAAGCTCTGCAGGTTAAGCCAGCAATAGGCACCAAATCGACAAGGAGAAGACATGATCACTCGGCCGACTCACGTGAACCAATCGAAGGATGACAATCGAAGCAGGTAACAGTCAATAGTCATTCGGATTTGGCAGTGGTTTGCAAGACTCCGCGAATCAGGACTGAATAGCCGCACTGAAGATGTTGCCTAGTTTGGTAACGAAACGTCCGCAACAGAAATGCCCGGCTCGGAGAACAGGACAATCTTCGAATCCACACTGCGAGCTACAGGTATTCTCCATAATTGCCAATGACAAGATGTTTGAGCTGGATCCATATTGTTGCTTATCCGGTGTGTTCCAAATAACGTGTGACGAAGGACTGTTGGAGAGATGCCTCTTTGACAGAAGGACTTGACCTACACTAGAGGATGGTAATCAATAATTTCGGAACAATCGCGTAGGCGTTGTTCGTAGGCTGAGCAGCGAGCTGTTTGAGCATTCATGTCACGCATGACGACAACCACACCCATGTTCTTGATTACAGAACGAAAGATGAGAATTGTTGAAAGGACTCAAACAGCAACCAGCGGGAAAGTGCGGTAAATTAGTTGATAAAGCACCATATCTTCAGACGCCTGATGTTAATTACTATTGGGCTCGAGTTTGTAGAGCATCGAAGCGATGGACTACCTTCAGTAGATTCAAGTAGAGTAAGCTAAAGCTATTGGCCCGATATGGGGCAGTAAACCATTGTGGCTGAGATTTTTGCGCAAAGCAAGTACCTAAGAAAACTCAGTGGTTGGGATAAGTTTCTTACTGTATTGTGTGTAATAAGCAACAGGACATTGAGAGTAGTGACATTTCTCTAAATTACATAGAAAGACTGTGCGTTGTGATTTAATGTATCCAAAAAAGAAAGCTAAGCAACTAGTGGCTACAGCGAAAGGCAGAGTGAGTGTTTCACTGCAGCCAGACGGTTGATTAGACAGGGGGGGTGGCTCCAGAACTGCAGACAGGGCAACATCTAGTTCAGCATATCGATGAGATAAAGAATTGAGTATAGTGCTTTAGATTCCAAGTCGACTGAGTGAAAACGGAGATAAAACAAACATCGCTAGTCGCACGAAGGCACAAAACAACCACATTGATTTGGAAGGGCGTAAATATGAAGTGCCATAACGAAGGTGCATATTGAATGCATTTGGGGAGGAGTGTAGAATATGATAAAAGACAAGCAAGTATAACTGTTAATGCCCTAATTACAGCCACCAGTTAACAAACCGGCAAGAAGGCAAATTATGTGTAAACACCTAAAGGATGACCTTTCCATACCTGAAGTTGAAGCACTTGGATAAATTCATCTTTCTCACTGAGCAGCAAGCGATAGTTCGTCTCCAAGTCCTGTTTCGCTCGTCGGTCCAATTCGCACTGCTCCTGCAGTTCCTGTATGCGACGTGAAACCTTAGCTTGGTTATTTTCCAAAGCTTCAACCAGTTGATCTCGTTCTTTTTCCAAGCGTTTTGTTACGCTGACAGCCTAAAACACAAGTGGTATACAAGTGAGCATTTGGATTCGAAGAAATCATCAGATGCAGCATTTAGGAAAATGCTAGAAGACCACGTGAGGGCTGAAGGTTAATAGTTAGTCATTTGCCCTGTCCCATCGGGCACGTGTATGAACACGTCACGTGCGTCATCTGCGCGACTTGCACACATAGGTAGGTGTATCCTTAAGCCTGCGACTCCAGTCCATCGTTTGCAAAGAAATTTCAGTACACAAGGGCCTGACGAAGAAATACGCCTAATAGTGTTCATGTGGACAGTTACAAGCAATGGACAGCAAAAACTAAATCAAAGAGGGGCTTGCAAGTGCGGAGGTAAAAACCAAATGACCTGTCACGAACTGGTATCAAAAAAGTCGATACTTCATGAGCGAGCAGGTTATTCATTAAGGAGGAATCGAGGAAAAGACGGTTACGACAGCTCGCGTAGGACAAAAATTATTGACTGGATTCACAGTTACGACATTATCGTGGGGCTTAGACAGGTAACAGAAAGGCTCTCATGTATTAAACAAAGATAGCTTTTACTCATGGTCAAATCAAACAAAAACCGGGAAACTCATTATGGTGCATTAGGGGTCAATCAACCGGTGAAGCCGCGTAGACAAACGATTACCCGCATATAACCAATAACAGAATGAGTTGGATTTGTGACTTCCCAGGCATCTTGTAGTTGCCGCCTGAATAGTCTACGTTGTTTAGCCGTTGGAACTCTACTCTTCGTCGCAGTTTTTCAGGTGCATGGTCTGTAGTCTCCATAACCTAGGCTCGAATCTAAATTATTGCGTGGATTCAAATGTCCTTGTGACAAGCCAAAGCGCTCGCGGTTGCGTACCTACGAACTACATCAGTAACTCGTCCCCAAAAGCTGTAAAATGCATTGCTGTCTTATCTAATGTTGTTTCAGCCACTCCATACCGATGCCATAGGGCCTTTTTGACCTCAGTCGTCGTCATACTTTCTCCAATCGCTCGTGGACATCAGAATTAGTTGCAGTTACTTGTCCTCTCACAATGTTAGTACAGGTATAGACCGAGCTCTGAGACCGTAGTGTGGTTTAGGAAACAGTATGTGACGTCACTGTTTGTCTGGCCTGATGAGCGTCGACGTAACGGAAAATGGGACGATATGAAACGTGATCATGGAGTTCATAAGTAATTCCGGACAAAAGCACAAGCTCACATGTTGTGCTAAGGCTGTGATTAACACTCACGTGAGTTTGATTAGAATGTTCAGACACATCAAAGAATAACTACGGCCCTGTTCAAGTTGATTTTAGTCTAGTGGTATAAAGAAAAACCAAAAAATAGTGACTACCCCGAGTATGTTTGATGACGATTACAAGATAAACCGCCTTATCATAATCCCCACTAGAGCGTGCCAACCAGCTGGTCTGATAAAAAAGGAATCTAGGCGGAGAGCCTTACCTCGACGAAATCAGAGGGGAAACACCCTAGTTACTAGATGGGCAGGTAAACGGCCTAGTTACACAAAGGAGCGGATGATGTTTCATGAGATAAATCTGAATACGGTAAAAGTTAATAGGCGGGCTTGGTTTTAGTAAAGAACCGTGCCAAGATGGTGGTATGACTTGATGTAACGAGAGGAAAGCGAACGCAAGTATCATCTGAATCTCATGTAGACACAGGGCAAAACTTGTAAGGTAGCTGGTCATGAAATAGAAAAATTAAGTGAATTACTCGGCTAATATTACCTGTTTTAACTTCTCCTTGTAGCCTCGGGCCAAGCGAAGCACACGCTGAAATCGGGTATGAAGGTCGACTCCTTCGGTACTAGGAGGATAGATGATGGACGAGATGACCGATGCGGAGTCGGAATCATCGGCGGTCATGGTATTTGCAGAATCTCGGCTTAAGGGATCCTGAGATGAAGAACCTGGGTCCATGTTCGCGTCGTTAACGCTCAGCTGACTACCTCCTGCGGCCATGGAGTCAGTGCAAATCCGCTATGAGTGGACATTGCGGACAGGTGGATGAAAACACACAGGTGACAGAGCCCAGATGTGAACGAACAGTATAGGACAGTAAAAATAGAGTTGACGAGTAGTAAACACACACAGTGCAGGTAATGTGTCTCAGTCTCGTCGAACAATCCACTTGCATGTTTCAAGGTCGGTTTAATCTATCGGTTTCCAATAACACAGTACTTAGAATGTTCTGCCACCACGAGTGAGAAATTCGAAGACCGAAGGAAGATGTGGCAGAATGGAGGGGAATAGACAGGAGTATAAATTTAGAGCAATTGAATACATAGCTAAACAGCTCGGTTACGAACAAACACACGGGATAGGTCGTGAGGGAGAATCACTTAAAAAGCTGCTGAGACCAAAAAGTGAGACAAAAACATACTGCGCTTAAAAACATCTATGCGCTAAACTTCAAGGTTTTGATGTTGCGACCTGTTCCGTGCGGGGTAATGAAACGGAGTTCACAGAAACCTAAGACCGCAGTGACAAGTCCACCTATTTCTCGCCTGCTATGGACATCTTTATGGCTTGTACTGCGCATATGTGAACACTTCACTAATGCGGGATGGATGTCTGATGGGGAATCAGTGATGAGTTTTCGCTCCAATCCGGTCGGACCGCGGTTCGTGCAGCTTTATGGAATGCTCACGGAAACCAGACAATCTAGAAGGACAACATAGTCAAGACAGATCCGGGCCAATCTTTCCAGTTAAAATACGTTAGGTTAGGGTAAGGTTTCCTATAATCATTCGATAGTGCATCGAATGGATTCCTAAACTAAGTAGGCGCTGGGGTACGTTCGTCTGCGTAACACATAGACCAACCTAATACCGATTCGCAACACCCTTTCTAATGCCATTTTGTTCCGGACAAGACATGGTAGACAGGCCTGGACACAATAATCTAGGTGGGGTTCCACGAAAGATGAGAAGTAGCACAAACATATCCGCTGTTAGAGCCCCGGAAAAAAACGTAGTATAAACCACTACATCCGGGACCGTTTACGAGCAAGCTTCTAAGTTGTCTACGGAATGAATGGTGAATCATGTGAGAAATTTCACCCCCATCAAGCATATAGCTAGAAGAAAAAAGAAAGGCATCAGCAGTACGCCGGTACACAGTACCGACGCTTCGTTGCCGCGCTACCACCACCAGTCGCACGTGGTCTAAGGATACTGCGAGGGTCGCCCTGTCCCTAAGTAGGCTTGAACCCGCGCCGAAAGATTGCGAGGCAAGCTCGTTACCAATAGGAGCCACCCCCACCGATATGCAGCACTGAACATTTTGCACGGTTTGTAGGCAACAAGCACAAGATGGGCCATTCTCAGAGTATAATTAGTGGCCGCTGAAAAGTATAAGGAACCCCAGGAACATCCACAATTCAATTGTGCATTTGTTCTCCGAGCTTGGCGGTTTAGTTGCAAAGATTTCACCACCATGAGACGTGGCATCCTCAGTGCAGTGAGATGCGGAGTGCAATCTTACTGTTTCAGTAACACAGATTCTGTAGGTAGCTTAAAAAACAAGGAAAACAACGGCATTTATACCAAATTATCGCGCAAAGCTGTTATTAGTAGCAGCTTTTATGATATACCAGGTAATACGGTAAATGTTTGGGCAAACGTAACAGAAAATCCCGAGAGTATGCGGCAGCGACAATCCGTCTACGACTCAAGGGTCTGGGGAATGCAGACAGTCGTCTGAGCTTTCGGGATACGAAAGACCTAAAATTGTGGAAAAGACTATACACTCACTCATACACACAATATTAAACGTAAACATATGATTGGCAGCATCCGGTTTCGGATTCGACTGTCACAGTGACAGGCCACACGACGCCTGCGCCTACAGAGGAACCATGGTGGCTTGCACTGCATCACGCACACACCCCGTAACCGGTGCACACCCGAAGGAATAAGGCCAGGAGGCATGTGGATGGGAGGTACGCCTCATCAACGGAGCCGGCCCATACTCCTTCACAGGCAAACACAAGCACGCTGTATTTGGGAATCAATCGCACACAAGGCGGTGGTGAGACTGTAGTCCACTCCACACTGAGTGCATGGAACCATGCTCTGATAATAACACGGTCACAAGGACCGTGCACCCCGTCCCCTCCAGCAACGAACAGCTGTCTCCTGGGGCCAGTATGGATGAGAAAGTGCGTAATAGACAGATAGGCACCTTGTCAACATGCACATCAAGCGCAGCCACACCGGGGATATAAACCAACAGTCAATCACTTGATACAACGATATCAAATAAAATAAATCGCATAATGCATACAGATACGGAGACATAACTCTTCACTAAATGAACATACGAAATAAATTGCTTGCCAACAAATCCGCAATAAGCTAAAGACGTCAAAAAATATACTTCAAAAAATGCCACAAACACAAAAATGTTATCAAAGTTAACTGCAATCAGCTTAAGCGACGTGTGCAAGTTACTAGAAGGTAGTTCAGGTAGACATTAATGTGAGGTTAAGTTGAAGCATAATTAAATTACAGCAAACCCACCACCAGAAATAAAGAGACTCAGCACGCAAGCACGTGGTTAGTAGATCGAATGCAGCGTACCTACCAAAACTGCGCCGGCTCTGCCTCCGTTCTCAGCAGGACTCGTCGTCGTTTCGGTGTTTGCCCAAAATGGCCTCGCTTATGGCTCACTAGGCCTACCTGACTAAGACACTCGCGGCCGCATGTGCTACAACACAATGCGCTCGATGTCGATGGAGTAAAACCCATCGACGACTGCCGCTTCTCTGCGTATGCACGAAGGCTTTCTCTTGCACCTCAACAATGGCCGTCGTGATCAGATTGCGCTAGACACACCGATCGACCGCTTTCGAATCTCAAGACCTGCAATCAAGAATAGAACGTGAGAGGCTCACTTCGATCATGTCCTGGTAACGAAGCTTCGGTTTCCCTGCATGTCGCTTCCCCACACACAGCTGACCATATAATAGCTTCTTCGGTATCCGCTTCGATTCCGTACACCACACATGACTGAGCCACCTCAGGTGTCTCAGCAAGAGTATGCAGTCTACTGCATACATTCCACAAAGGCGCAACACTTCCGTGTCCACAACTCTGTTGCACCAACTGATGCGCAAAATCCGCCGCAAACACTACTGATGGAACCGCTCGAGGTATCGCACATCCCGCCGGTACATCGTCCACATTTCACTGCCGTATAGAAGAACGGACAGCACCATGGATTTGTACACCATCAGCTTTGTGCCAATGCTAAGCTGGTGGTTGTTCCACACTCGGTACTCAAGCTTCCCGAATGCCGCTGCTGCCTTCGACACGCGAATACGCAACTCAACGTGTAGCTGCTAGTCAGTCGACATCACACTCCCAAGATAGCTGAAGCGGGAGGTGGTTTCCAATACTTCAGCACCAATGCTGATTCGCGACCATATGGAAGATTGCACCTCCGGTGAAGGCTGAAAGAGAGACAGTTTTAACCGGCAGTTTACCACGGATTTGTATACCATCAGCTTTGTGCCAATGCTAAGCTGATGGTTGTTCCACACTCGGTACTCAAGCTTCCTGAATGCCGCCGATGCCTTCGAGACGCGGATATACAGCTCAGTGGGTAGCTGCTGGTCAGTCGACACGACACTCTTAAGGTAGCAGAAGCGGGAAACGGTTATAATACTTCGTCACGAATGCTGATTTGTAGCAATATTGTAAGTCGCACCTCCGGTGATGGCTGAAAGAGACAGACAGTTTTGTCTATATTGACGGTGAGCCCGAATTTAGCCGATGGCGAAGCAATAGCACCAGTCATGTGCTGCAACGCATCCACGCCGTGTACAAACAACGCGCAGTCGTCAACAAACAGTAACACACGGATAGTTGTCTCACAGACTAGGGCTCTCTCACCGAAACGACAGATATTCAGCAACCCACCATCAATACGGTGCACAAAACGAACACCGTAAGCACACGCCGCATCAAAAGCACAGGACATCATTGCATGAAGGTAAACATCAAACAGAGCAGGAGCTAAAACACAGCCTTGCTTCACATCAGAGATAACTGCAAAGTCATCCGATTTCGGTCCACTCAGTTGCACCTTCGCCTGCATATCACATTGCTGATATTCAAATAAACTTACAAATTTACTGGGACAACCAAACTTATCCAACACCAGTCGCAATGCCTCGCGGTGAAATCAACAAAAAGCGAGTAAAGCGGCTGGTGTAATTCTCTGCACCTCTCCTGCAACTGACGGGCCGCAAACACCAAATCTGTAGCGCTGCGACAGAAACGGAATCCACATTGCTCCTCCGCGTCGTTCCGTACCACAACCTGACCGACGAGGCGGTTGAGCAGGATTCGGGCAATCACCTTACCCACTGTCATAACGAACACAAGTGGCGAAATGTCCAGGTAGTATAAGTTGGCTGGTGCCATATTGCCAAAAAGTTTTTGTAACTGTGCACAAAAGTGGAACATAGTGTTTTCCAAAAAGCGTGTTGTTCTACAAGTCAAAACCATGTTCTGTGTCGGAAAAATTCGTGTCCACAATCCGAACACTGATTTTGTGCTGTGGTACATTTTATTCCTGTCGCCTGTTTCACACAAAACCGACACCGCTCGTGCCTCCGGGTCCTATTTAACCAAATGTTTATTCGACTGTAAACGACTGGTTCTGGTGTGTTTCCTTCTACTTTTGCCCGGTCGTGTATCAATACACGTTGCGTTGTGGCATTCGCTTTCTGTGTTTTCCTAGGCGGAATCAAGCAGGTGCTCAGCCTTATCGGTGGCTCGTAACACCCACACAATTAAGCAAGCTGACGCCAAGATAATTTGTGCAACATTGCTTGCTTTCTTTGCCCTTGAACTGTAGTAGCATAAGGGCATCCTTTAGCTCGGCATGCTCATGCTCCTCAATCCACATGCGTTGCACCAAGTGGTGCAGCGCAGTCACCAGTGCAGAACAGCCATGTTTCAAGACTACAG